TGGAGTTGTTGCTGCGAGTAACACAAAAGTCCAAAGTTGCAAAAGTGAGTGAGAATTAAATAATTTGAAGAAAAGCTCTGTGGAGCATGAACAGACATTAATCTTTAATAGGGCTGTGTAACGCCCTCCGCTATCGTTGTTTAATTGGTCACATGACTGCATCACATGTTTTCACTGTCCACACTGTGACACAAAAGCACTGTTTTGAAATGTCTCAGTGTGGACGGGAGGCCAAAACGGAGAGAAAACCATGTGCTGTCAAATGAAAACGTTAGTGTGGACGTCGTGACCTTTGAGCTCACTGCAGGTGAGCCAGAGTCGGAAGTGACACGTGGCAGAAGCTACTCATTAGCCAGGAGTCAAAACAACAACATCAGATCAAAGTTTAAAGCGAGAACGTGAAAGTAAAGAGAAAGGGAAACAAAAGACAAGCAGAAAAAGGACTGAGGGGAGATAAACAGGAGGGAGGTGACCCGGCAGGAGACGGACAAAGACAAATTTGTCACATCCGTTGGAGAAGTTCTTCTATTCAGCTAAAGACAGCAAAGCTGTGGGTGACTCTGTGCAACACTGAGAACCTGTATAGCTTCTACCTCAGCCTAATATTCATCAGAGCACCAAATGTGGCTCCAAAGTGTGGATGAGATGTTTGCAACAAACTTGTGTCATAAACACAGCAGCACACAATTTCAGCATGTGCCCAAAAACTTATGGACCTTTGTTTTGTGGTTTTGCTTTCATACACCAGTGCAGTGGATTTTAAATCAGACAATCATGGTACGACCAGCCGTGTCCCGTTCTCTCAATATTCATGGACAAATTAAACAGCTGATTCCAAGATACCATTGTTATGTTTATTAAGGTTTCTTAAGCCTATCAGGTAGAGAGGAAAAACCTTTGGAGCATATCTACAGCTGAGTTTATTCTTATGGATCCAAAAGACCACAGAAGACACAGGAAGTGAATGATGACAGGATTATTTCTATGGTTCAGAAAAACAACGTCACAACTAATCAAGTCGTGAATATGCTCGATGAGACAGACACATCGCTGTCAGAGTCTACGGTCAAAAGGTGCAAAC